GGATTCGGATTCGGATTCTGATTCTGATTTCTTGATAGTGTGCTGTCACATTTTTCCACTATAATCAAGTGGGCTTCTGGGTCTCCCATTTTTTACAACTTTTGGGACTGCACTTTTATTGCATGGAACTATATTGGTAGACCCCAGTGTAGGCTATAGGTCTCTCTGTCATTCATTCGTAGTAATATATTCAAGATTTGTCTAATGTAGTAAACTCACATCACATACAACTCGATGACACCTATACACACAAATTGGTGCCAGTGGCGCATGTTTAGGTTACAGGGGAGACGCAGAGACGCGAAGGAAAAGGTCCAGAGAGAGATTTATGTATTACACGATGTCTAGGGCAGGTAGACACGTGTGTGGGAAGAACATCCCACAGCTGGGCTGCCCAGCTGAAAAACAAAGGTTACACATACCACTGTATGTGCCACAAACTACTGTAGGCCTATACCACCAACCAGGACTGTGTGTGACTGTGTGTACCGGTATTATCTTGTATTTACATGTACAGATTACCAGGCACATACCATTTTATTTTGTGCATGGAGGGGGGTTCCAGGGTAGGTTGCAGTGGTACAATCCCTTCGGCTTAAGGACCCTCGCTACACCAGGGTAGTCATACTGAAAGGGAAGGTGGAGAGGACAGGAAGAAGGAAGGCACAGGAAGGAAGGAAGGAGGAAGGAGGAAGGAGGGAAATTAGGGAAGAGAGATTAATGAAAAGTTTTCTACTGGGTGGAGTACTCGAGTACATGAATTATAGTTAAGTCATAATGACAGAAACAAAATATTTAACTTATATTCTTTCATTCATTTTGGTAAGGGTAATCTTAGCAGTCTTTAGTATTCTGGAAATGGAGTGGGGAATTACTAAAAAACCTGTTAGATATGAATTTGTATTCGCTTACCTAATCAAACAAAACTACATTTCAGTATAATTATGGAGGAAAAACCATTGGGGAAAGAAAGCTTGCCCCGCCCCCATTAGAATTAACCATATCTTGATTTCCCGAAAGTAACTCGTCATAGTAACTGAGTTTGTGGCCGGAAAGAGAAAAAATGCGTCACGTTGGAGGGGTTGCGGTTCCACCTTTTAGTCCGTGGATGCTGATCCTAACAGCAGACTAACCTGAGTAGTCTGTCTAGTTAGTCTGTTTTAAGGCTATATAATGTGCCATTTGTATAACATATAAAACGTGTCTAAAGTGTTTTTTTTCTTTCCACCTCTGCCCTTCAAAAAGTCTGTGCACGCCACTGGGTACACATGTAGAATATGTCCTGATGTTAAAAAAAATCCTCTTGAGGATCCAAGGTAATTCCACAGTCATTCATGGCGATTTGCACAATTTGTACTTTAACAAACTCTTCCTAGGGAATTGGTCGGATCGACTTTAAATTTAGTTAGTATAATGTAAACACCATCACGATTAAAAAATTGTGCTATTTGCAATTTTGCTTTGAAGGGTGTGTCTCTGGCGTGGCGCCAACATTTGACATTTCACCATGAAACAGGAGTGAACTTTGTCCAATCTGCACCATAATGCACATGTCTGATAAAAGTCCTGCCCTGAACACATCCACATGACAATATTAAGGCATACTCATAGCGCACCCCCTTATTACATTTTTATTTCAAATCTTTAATCGTTATATTAGATTCAACATTTCTGTTTTCCATTATAAGCATTGTTTGTCAGTTTAGTTAACTTTTGTATTCCTGATTTCAGCAATAACTTCAGTGACAAAAATATTAGCTGAGGAGAATCATGGCTCAAATACAAAAACAGGAGCCAGGTTGTGAGAAAAACTTTTACCTGTTTTCATTAATACTCTAATAGTGAAAGGCATTACAAAGACATGATTTCTGTATGTAAGTCACAGATGTTTGAAACATTCTCCTGTCTTTATTTGTTTCTTTTCTGCCTTTATTTGTACCTCTCTCAGGCTTTAACCACCACTCGTATGGAGTTTGAAGCATTAGAGGATGAGGCCAGTGCCATTCACGGAGACCTATGGGAGCAGCTTAATGCAGGAGGGCAGGTAAAAAGTTACACTGTCATCATCATTCCTGCTTATATATTCATACACTGTTGGCAGAGGCTACCATGCAAGGTGCCAACTGCTCATTAGAAATGGAAACTAATTAACTCACACACATTCATACAGCAAATAATAGCATCCGGAGCAATTTGGGGTTCAGTATCTTGCTCGAAGGACACTTCGACATGCAGGTGGGAGGAAGCCGCAGTTTTAAACGACAAACCTCCTGATTAGTGGATGACCCACTGCATGACTCTCAGAACTGAAAACTTGCATTTAGGAGGTTCAACAGCAAAGTTTCCTACCAGAAACAATGTACTCTGGATAATCATCGTAGATAATCCATAGACCTCACATTCAGCAGTTTTTATATCTTAGAATGGAAAATAGTTCACCTTCCCTCTTTCATATTATTTTGTCTCTTCTTGCTTTTTGCAGAGTGAACTGGTTCGTAGGCACATCCAGAAAGAGTTTTGGAGAGTACAGGATGTATTAGAGGGACTGCACAAGAATAACTCCTCCAGAGGCACTGACACAGCCAAGCACAGAGGTAACCTACTTAAGTTGGAAAATAATTGCATTTTTAGTGGAAATATCTGTATCCATGTCATGTATATTTTAATGACTCTATACCTGTTACCCTAACCTCCCTGTCTTTCTTTTGCACAGTGACCAGCGGTGCATCAGGCTCCTTTAGCACCAATAGTCCAGCCAGTCCCCTGAGCTCAGTAAGCCTTACCAGCCCACTCAGCCCCTTCTCCCCAGTGCCCGGCTCCCAGGCCTCCCCCACCAAACAGCTGGGCCCGGAGGTAAGCACCGGACACACCCAGCTGGGGACTAACCCCAATCCAAGACCTGGCACAGGCCCATGCTCAGATTCTAGAACCAACCCTGAAATGCGTAACGGACCAAGCCCTAAACCCCGTCCCAAGTCAGGTATAGTGCCTCATTTTAAAACTGACCCTAAGCCTACGTGTAGACCCAAAAGTTACACAGAGCCTGACACTAGCCTGCATCCAGAAAATATAAATGACTTAGCTTTTGAAACCCATGAACACACATTTCGTCAGCTCTCCCTAGCTTTCCAAGACCTAAGGGGGTCCTTGGGTAGATTAGATCCTGTGATAGAGGAAACAGACCAAAATATCAACTGCAGAACCAAGTCAAACTTTGATCACCCTATAAATCCAGCCAAAGCCAGATCAGGAAATCAGATGAGTTTTCTTCAAGTACAATTCCATGACTCAAAATATAACAGTCAGCATTCAGGCCAAACCCACTCTGACCTTCAGGAAGTTAGTTGGTTAACCTCAAATGTTTGCAGCCAAGAAGACAAGATTGGCCCCAGAAAAGATGTCTATCCAGACTCCCACCCATATCACTTCTCCAATGACAACCTCAGAAGCCTGTCCCCCAACAGACTCTTTTCTATGCCTGAATCCCAGATCCTGATCCAGGACTCTAATCAGACTGATGTTTTATCATTACGCTGCCATCAAGATCTTAATACACTTTCAGTCCCTTGTTTTAAGAGTGCTAGTCCTGAAAACAAGCACATAAGTGATAGGCCACTTACTTACCTCAGCAATCAAAGGGGACTGGACATTGCTCCAGTGATCTGTGCCATAACACAATCTGATTCACATAATTATCTGTCAGGTAAAGTGTTCATGCAGACCCATCTTTAAAGAAAAGGGTATCCATCACTTCATCGTTGATTCTGATAATTCCTAATTCCATCTGTTCTGATATGAAAAATTGTAAATACAGGGACAATATTTTTCCCCAAATCATAACTATTTTACATTGTCATTGCTAAAGGTCATGATGACATTAGATTAGATTAGATTAGATTAGATTCAACTTTATTGTGATTGCACAAAGATTACAACGTACTTGAAGACAGCGATAATGCAGTTTAAGCATCTAACAGAAGTGCGAAAACAGCAGTAAAGTGGCAGAGGCAAATGTGCATATGTCCACGGGAATCTACTGAAAAGAAATAACATTATACGATCAACAGTGGCAGCCAATAATTACTTTGATCCCTTGCTGACTTTCGCTAGGTTTGGCCCCCTTACAAGAGATGGAACTGTGTATAATTTTAAGAATATGTACATTTTAACATTAGAGACAGAATATCACAAAAAAAAACCCAAGAAAACCACGAACATCGTACAAATTTTTATATAGTTTACTTACTCATATTTTCGCCATGAAATACGAGTATTTTGATTCATAGAAAAACATGGGAACTTAATACTTGGTGGAGAAACCCTTTCTTGGCAAGCCAGCAGACGGTCAGAGGTCTGGAGCTCGGCTAGCCACTCCACGGACCTTAATATCGCTTCCTTTTTGACGCCACTCCTTTGTTGCCTTGGCCGCTATGTTTTTGGGTCATTGGTCATGTTGGACAGACCCACTCCACCGACCCCACTTTTCAGTGCTCTCACTGAAGGACGGAGGTTTGTCGCCCAAAATTTTTCCCAGTAACCATGCCATTTTTTGTGATATTCTGTCTCCTCAATATTCCTGATTAAAATCTTCACCTCCACTGATCTACCTATGATTAAAATTATACACAGTTCCATTCTTTGTAAGTGGGCAAACCTACAAAATCAGCAAGGGGTCAAATAATTATTGCTCCCACTGTATATATGAATATACTAGCAGGATATTTACAGGTACATGTATTGACACAATTTGTGTCCCATTTTCTAAAGCCATTGGTGCTGTAAGTTTGGTTTGCAGACCTTACCTAAAATTTGACCTGGAAGTTTGTCCAAATTCTTTATGATTCTAAATCATATATTTCAAACCCTGTGTAACTTAAATGATAAGTCTGCAGAGACATTGATTTGTTTTTTTAATTTATTTTGTTGCCAACATTCTATCTGTTTGGAGCATTTCAAGTATAGAGAGCCATGTCTCCTCAGCCATGCAGTCTGTAAGTCACCATCTCTGGGCAATAGATAAGCATGTCAATGTAAGCATCAAAATGCTTGCAATCTCCTTAGACCCTGTGGTGCTGCAGTACAAGTTCTCTTTGAAACAGCAATGACATATCATAATTTATATTTGTGAATTAGTCTCAGTTTATTAAAATGTATTTGGACGTGACTGGATGGACCTACAACCAAATCAGAACAGTTCTTTATCAGCAGCAGCCATCTTGTTGTTTACAAAAATGTCTCAAAAGCTTTTTCAAAGATCCAAAGATCTAATTGGACCTAATAAGTTTCTTAAAAATGCAACGCTGTTAAAATGTTATATTAGTCTTACTATTCTAGGTGACAAAATGAATTACACAGTGAGAATTGAAATGTTGTGGCTGTTTTACAGAGCCTTTTATGGACTGTGTGGATTTAAAAATTCATAGAAGCTGTCAGGTCAGGTATTTTATTGGCTAACTCCTTAACATGAGATCAAGACCCTATTCCCTATAATCATTCCCATGGGTCCTCTCTGCTCTGCACTTTGCCTGGCTTATTATCACTCCTCCTGATGTGCAGCACTCTCTTTCCCTTATCCTTTCTCTCCTTCCTTGCTCCCTTTCTCCTGCCCTTATGGTGATCTAGGAAAATGTTCCCCCAAGGCCTCCCCTCCCCAAGTCCTATTACCCTTTGGAGTCCTCCTCTACCTTCCCTCCTTCCACCCCCACCCCTTCCTTTGACAGCACCGCCTGGCTTCGCAGCTTGGGCATTGATGATGGTTACTTTGATGGTGAAGATTCTCACATCAGAAAGGTATTTCGATGTTCCTACCACTGTCCAGCCTTCTCTACATCCAGCCTTAACCGTTGTCCAATGTCATCTTTTAAAAACTTAATTCTTAACATCATAAGCCACCTTCCTCCAAAATCCTTTCAAACCTCCATTTGTTCAAGCATTTCATCCATTCATTGCCTCTGATTATCCCTCTGTGTCTCCATTTCAGCCTGTTTTAGCTCCCAAAGCACTTGTTTCTGCTCTCCCTCAGCTCTTTTTAATGCCTCTGCCACTAAAATCCATGTCAGCTGTATGAAGTAACATAAAGAGTTTTTTTTTTAAGTAGTACAATAGCAGTTCAATTTAAAATGCGCTGCAGGTGATTTGGTATGAAAGCCATCTCTTACCAAGGATGAGCAGCATCCACTATGTCCTGGTACCTGGTGTTGAGTTTTCAACAGCCACAGATCATCTGTCAAACTCTCTATGTACCTGCTAGTGTTGTACTCGTGGTAGTTAGTACATGGTCACACCAGGACACAGAACAGTGTAAGTCATTCATGTTTCTCATGAATTAAGTGGTGCTGGAAGCTTTGTAGTGACCTCGGTTTCTAACTGGACAACGATTGAAATGATTGAACACAGTTAAGGGGATGTATCTTTACCACCCACTCCTCTCTCATGATATGCTACAAACCATGTTGCATCTTTTTTGTGGAGCAGTTTATGCTCAGAAAGTTTACCAAAGTTGAAGTCTTTGTAAAAGTTCAGTAAGGGAAATCTCCTGGTTACTGATTCACTGAATCAGAAGATTTTGATCTGAAATTTCATACATGCTGATGTAAGTAATGTATTGCCTCTGCCATTTCAAGTGTACCAGTTGTTTTAACATCAGTCCCCCACTGTGCATTGTCTAATCTAATACTACCTTAAGGTTTAATGTTGATTAAATTACAAATTATATTAGTTCTTTGTCTTGCAGCCCAGGTTTGGAGAAGAGAACAATATTAGTGATGTCCAGGACCAGGTCCAGGACAGACAATCAACCCTGAATAAAGGTACAACAACATAAGCTCAAGCTTCCATGTGATAATATTTCTGATCCTTTTTTAACTGATGATTATAATCCAGCAATTAACTCTCTTGTTTTATATTGTTCCTTCCTCTTCCCAATGGTTTTGAGTTAACCTTGTGCCCCTTGCCAGTTGGCATTGTTCCTCCTAGAACGAAGTCTCCCACTGATGAATCCCACAGCAGCTCTGCTGGAGTTTCCCGGTATAACGGCAGAGTACCTAATGGAATCTCTAGGGTATGTCAACTTAAATTACATATAGATAATATCGAAATATCTATCTAAACAACAGCATGTAGCTTTAATTCTTCAAACAAGAAAATCAAACCATCCAAGGACCTTTAAGTGTACACAGGAACCCTATGATAGAGCGAGCTGTGACTGTCCCAATACTCACATTTATGGTCTGAGATTGTGTTTCCTGTGTTACTATTATCAGGTAATTGGCATTGCATTAACTCTTGATTGCGTGAGTTAAGATACTAGTATTTTCACATTAGATACATATAAGATAGAAACAGTCAACATTCTGATTACCACCAAATTAAGACTTTAATAAAAAGAATAACATGACAACACATCTTCAAGTAGCTGAGGGGAAGTTGAGATGTTGGTATTCAGATATTTGAGATACCAATATGAAAGATAATCTGGAGCGAGTCAAACAATGACATGAAGGTCCTGCCAAAATGATTGCTGTTTTTGATGTGAGTAGATGTTAAATAATTTACTTTCTGTTAAGTATGACCTCTTTCATACTTTTTAATGATTTGATTTTTACAGTTTGTCCTTTTGCTGGTTTTATTTATTTCAATGGTTTTATTTGCTTGAAATCGTTTTAAGGATCTGCTTGGGCTCAGAAAAGTATGGCTGTGTGTGTCATTCACCTATATTGCTATATTTTACATAACTTAATAATAACTTTAATTATTTGATATGACTTGTCCTAATGGAAGCATACAGTCTTTAACTTTGGATTTACCTTGTGGAACTCCACACGTCATGTTGGTTTGCCCAGATGCATAGTTGCAGAGTGAGACAAAATAGCCTCTGTCCTTGAAATAGGACTTGTCTATCTAGTAGTATGGTATGGTCAACTGTGTCAAAGGCACCACTAAGTTCCAATAAGAACTTCGTTTAGACTGAAATCTTGCCTGCATTGAACTGTTTCAATGCCATATCTCATGTATCTCTCTCTCTCTCTCTCTCTCTCTCTCTCTCTTCTCTCTCT